ACTCTAAAGATGCTACAAACAATCCACCAACATGCAAACCGAAACTTTTAGTACCTCTTTGCAACAGAAATAATATTAGTTTTTGTATATATAAAGGAACTATATACCATTGAATCTCGTACCTAATGTAATAAACCGACATAATATCAATATTTATTATTAAAATAGTAAAGTGATATTAAGTAATGTGAAGATATATATTACGCCATGGTATATACGTGATCGCAGTTATCCGTAATTTGTTGACCGATAAAATTGGCTAAGAACATATATGTAATACAGGCGCTTATTGCTACACAAGGCAAAATAAGTTCCTGAATATTATAATTCACTGCTATAATCTGAAAAAACTAATGTGCAAATTTCAATGTATTGTAATTAGTTTATAATTTATAACTTGTTTTATAATTTTTAACTATAAAAAAATGCGCGTGCGCATGTGTGTGTGTGAATAATAGTAGTAACATATTATTATTCATAAAAATTTTTAGAATATGTTAAATTTTAATTGGAATAATTCAGAAAATTAGGATGCAAATTTATAATCTGGAAAATTGAAATTTTTGAGTTGTCAGATATTAAAATAATATCAAAATTTAAAATTTGAATCGCGTTTTTTTTTATGCATTTTTAATTACATTCACAAGTAATTAGTTTAAAGTACATATTATTATTTTAAATGTAGAAAAGTTATATAAGCTACTGTAGGTTGCTACGCAATCAGGATTTACATTTTATTCGAATTGTCAATCAAATTGTTATCAAAAGAAATTTATTACAAACTACAAATTAAATTTACTGTTTATTAGTAATCTAAAATACGAATGAAATGGATAATGTTTCTGCACTTATACTGTTTGGCTTTATTAGTGACAAGTAATACTTATTTTTATAAATTAAGTTTTCTTGGTTGTTTAGTGATAATATAAAATTTAAAATTTTTCGAGCTAGAAAAGAACTTAGTTATGTCAGTTAAAATATTCATTACAATGCAATTATATGTTTAATAATATAAAATAACGTTTAAAAATAATATTTATTTTTTTTAAACGTTTAATTACAAATATCTTACCCGTAAAATATTGAGGCTTAAAGTACTCACTCCGAATATTATCATAAACATAAAAGACATCTCAAAATTGGTTATTAGATACGTGGAAAACCTTTTAATCGAAAAAATCTGTATATGCGGGTTTATGTTACTGTGCATATTATTTAAAATAATAT